ATTTTCTCAGATTTTACTCTATTATAGTCAGGCTTTCAAATGATATAAAACTCTCAGAATTATTTTATTTAAAAGTTACAGTTTTTTAGTCCTAAAAAAGATGCAGTTTTTATCTATTGATACGTTAATAGGAAGTAGAAGAGACCCCCGCCTCCATATATCCCTCCCCATAGGCATAGGCCGGCCAATATTGCCGAGAAAAAGAGTATATAATACACAACCAGTAGATCTCCTTATTGGCGCCCCAAATGCCCAGTAGTTCCAGTACTATGGATAGTACACCAAATGATATTACAATGGCCCTGGTGGTTTTCTGAGATTCAATTAATAATTGAAGGTAAAATAATTATTCCTTGAGTGTTCAATTTACTTACTATCGTATCCTGGTCATATATAGTGTTGTATGAATAGTTGTTAATACTGTTGAGTCCAATCATCAGTAAAGCAAATATGATGACTACACATACCAGGGCCACACCGCACCCGGCATACATAGCCCGCTGTAGGTTCCGGTACCTATTGTCCGTGTTTTGGTAAGTCATCGTTAGCACCTGGTTATTTCTAGCACTAATTTTTCATTTGATTAACTAATAGTAAAGATTTTAAGCAAATTGCAAACATTGAGTTGTTTTATATAATGTATGTTATATCTTATATAATTGCTTTATATGCTCATATAATTAAAGTAATTGCAGACTAAGCGTTAACTATTATAACTTATAAAATTGAAAACTTTTATGATTTATTGTATTTCAAGGCATGTTTGTAATATTACATATTATGATTTGCCAGCGGTTTAATGCAAAGGACATTATTTTGAATTTATCACAGTTTTTAACTATAATACATACATAACTTTTAATATTGTTTTATTATACTTGATGTCACTTATTACTGATATATTTTATGTAACAATCGGGACAGTTGCAAAATTACATAATAATAATGAAAGTAATAATCAGATTACAGATTACCTCAACAGTATGTTGTTAGTAAAGTTACTTAGGTTCAGATAATAATGATTAATTATTTAATAAATAAATAAATAACCAAGTTTTTTATAGTAACAAAATAAATTTATTAATTATAAATCACTATTATTTATAATAAGTTATTACAATACTACCAAACATGAGATAAATATATTTAAACAATATAATCAGTGCAGATAATTAAAATTAATTTTGATATTTAATAAAAATTTACAATTAAGCATGAATTTTATTATAAAATACAACATTTAATAAATAAATAAATAATAGAATATTATTTAGAGATTAATTAATTTAATAAATAATCACAGAATAATGTTATGGTGGTTATAGAATAACAACACCCATACACAAAACTACTGGCGCTTTATTGCATAGTCTTATGCTCACCAGCACCGGGTGGGTAGTTAGGATCATGGGCACCCAATACATGCAGATTAGGTTGTCCGGCACCTGTCGAGGACTGCCCATAACTAGGGGGCTGTTGTGTTGACTGTCCATAAGAATTACCCACCGATGAGTGATAGCCAGTACCCATGGGCTGGTGTTGCGATTGCTGATAAGGCCCGGTAGGTCCAGTCATATACATCTGGCCATTTGGTGGTCCGTAGTTGGGTACCTGTCCTGAGGGTGGTATTTGATAACCATAATTAGGTTGACCCGGCATTCCCGACACGTAAACAGTGGTACTTCGGGCCAACTTCTCGAGTCGTTTCATATCTTTGGCAAAGTATGAGCCAAAACAGCCGCTCACGAAGAATACGACCATTAGATACCAGAGCAGACCTCCAAATCCCCTAATACCGGCGTATAGACACAGACCTGCCAGCCCTCCCGATAGTACAGCGTAGATAATACACAGCCAGTAGACCTCCTTTATGGCAGCGCCTATACCCAGCAGTTCCAGTATTATAGTCAACACACCAAACGATATAAATATAGATCTGAGGGTACTCTGGCATTGGATTAGGGATTAAATTTGTGGTCAATTATTATGATCAATATTGAAATTAATAAATTATCAGGGTTTTACTTACAATAGAGCTCTCGGTGTAAATCGAGGTTAAAGAATTGAGCGCTATCATGAGTAAGGCAAACACAATGACCGCGGACACCAGGGCCACACCGCACCCGGCGTACATACCTCGCTGTAGGTTCCGGTACCTACTGTCCGCATTTTGGTATGCCATGGTGAATTAGTGTTAATTTATTGTAATAACTTGGTAGAATATAAGTTAACTTAAGGATATAACTTGGTTAAACTAAAAATAGTCAAGTCTTTCCAACGAGTATTGTGTGATTAATTTGCTTTGTGTTATATCTTATACCTAAAAGCCTGCGTTTTATGGTTTATTAGATTTCATTGCATTTTTGAAACACGACTTACGAGTTAACGGTGCTTTAATGCTTAGCGATTATCCCGTATCAGGCATACCTACTCTAAGATATTAGTAACCTATCCATAAAATATATAATGAATACTCAACTTTTAACGTACTTGCTATGTCTAACAGATTTTGTAATTATTATGCTATTCGGAAATAATTTGGTACCTATTATACTAGCTATCACTAGATAATTATCATGGTTACGTTGGATCGGGATCAAATTAATTAAGTGACTAATGTTGTGAGTCACATACAGTGATTATCTAACAAGTGTAAGAGTAAAATACAAAAAATATAACATGATTTAAGATAGTTTAATTAATTAAAGTATTAAGTAATAAAATACTTTTTTTCTAAATATATATGTACAGACATATTAATTTATCAATGATTGCATTTTGCGATTATTACACAAATGAATGAATAATTTAATAAATAATTGCAAAGTCCCCACACAAGCACCCGGCATAGTTACAAGTTACAAGTTAGGCATAGTCTTATGTGGGGCTATGTATCCAACCATAGGTGGTTCGGGATCTAATTGCTGTCCACTACCTCCCGGTTCAAACTCACTATAACTCGGGGGTTGAAGCCCCTGCTGGGCATAGAAGGTACCGACCGGTGAGTCATAAGCACTAGTCATCCCTTGATGTTGCGATGACTGGTAACCACTTCCAGGGAAAGCATACATATGACCATTAGGTCCCTGCATAGGTACGCTATAATTAGACACCTGTCCAGGGGCTATCATCTGACCGGGATGTAACATCTGTCTCTGTGGTAACCCCTCTGCAGGAGGTGGCACTTGATACACAATACTCTGCTGCGGGGCCGGTAGTCCGTTGTAATACACAGCCATACTCC